GTCTGCAGCACATCTGAGGAATGTAAGGTGGTGGCCTGGAGCAGAGGGTGCCTGGAGGGGAATGCTTAGTAATGACGTCGGGAGGTAGGTGAGGGACTCGTAGTTAAACAGGGTAGGTTGAACATGTGTACTTAACTCCACTTCCTCCAGCATTGTCTCTAAAACGGCAATAAAGGGTTTAAGAGGCTATGAACGCAGGAGAGCAAAGAGCACGTCTGAGTATTTGACGAGAGATATCAAGAAATGCAGGAGGCAAAGTGGACGCAGAGGAGAGGAAATAGAGGAAGGATGGAGAACCAGGACCTGAGGGCCAGCGGACCAGGATAAAGAGCCAGCAGCACCCAGGGAAGAGGGCAGGGCCGGGGCTTTCTGTGGTGGGGCTGAAATTGGAGGGCTGCTTGCAGGTCCGTGTATGGCACAGCTAGGCTGCCGATCACTATACACCCCGAGCTGTGTCAGTGGGGGCTAAGCCGCTCCCAGCCTGGCAAAAGATGGCACATGCAGACAACCTGGACTCGGGGATGCCAGGCACAGGAAAGCGTGGGAACGAGAGCCAGGCTGACAGCAAAGGGAGGCGAGTGTCCTCTGCCCCTTGCCCCGCTTGCTTTTCCATCAGAGGACTGGGGCCACCTTTCCCCTCAACATAGAGAAAGACCTTACAGACAGACACCAACATTCGCGGGTTTCTCCCGTGTCACAGGGAAATCAATGGTCAGGGCCCTGCACGTTCACCCCCATGGTGAAGCCCCTTCCCAGACACACCTGAACTTCTAGTTCACTTTCCAGTCCTGGTTCTTGAATGTAAAAGCAGAGCCAAAAACCACCCAAAATTTGGGGGAAAATGTCTCTGCCATGAGTGTGTTGGTGTGAACAGAGTCTAGGGAAACTAGCAAGTGGTGGTGCAGTGTCCTGGGGCAGTCACGGCAGAGCCATCCCCACCCTGAGCTCCGTGATGTAGAAGGTGCACCAACACTCACTGCCTTGCAGGGAGAGAGCAGGAGAGCGCCCACCTCTGTCACACTCTCCTCCCGCTCTCTGGCTTCCTGTCTGTCTGTTCCACTGACCCAGCTCGCTGGAACGAGACCCAAGGAGCCCCGCTGGTGCAGTCCGTTAAGGCCTCCTCCCCGCCACAGTCTGTACCTCACTTCTTACGCTCTACGTCATGGTTCTAAGAGTCATAGTTGTTGCCTTATCTGTAGTTCATCCATTCATTTTTCACTGCTGTGTACCAGTCCATTGGTAAATACACTACAGTTTATTTATCCATTCTCTTGTTACCATTATAAAAAATGCTACTGCGATCGTGCATATTTACAAGAGTTTCTCTAGGATATAATTGTTCATTCATGGAGTATGCACGTGTTCAAGTTTATAAGATAATGCCTATTGCTTTCCAAAGTGATTGTTCCAACTTACACTCCACCAGCTGTGTATATGGACCAATTGGTTAACTATTCTGGATATCAACTACTTCATCTTTAAATGGATATAATAATACTGGCATTATGGGTATAGTGAGGAACATGTATATATCATTTAGGCAAAAGACTTATAAAACTATTTGATGATAATGGCAGTGGTCATACCCAGAAATCACATGTGTATCAAGACGGGACATGACCTGTGTAAAGAGCTTTGCAAGCACATATGGTATTCTCAGCTCACACGTGATTATGTGTTATGTTTTGTTATACTAGGCACCTATTACATGTGTTTTACAAAGTTATTTTTATACACTATGTTTTCTAAATTCCCTGTCTTCCCTCAGAATGTATAATAAGATGTGGCATCAGACCCAAGACGCCCTCAATTCTTTGCTTGATAAAGAGTCTCAGAAGATGGCAGAACCACAAAAAAGTCAAGTTTTCTTCTTCCAAATGTTAGCCACCTTCTACATAAAATATGTTCAGATCTTTAGAAACCTGGAGACTGTCTATGACCAGATAGTCCATCCACAGAAACGAACACTGATCCGGAAAATACTGGATGGGGTGATGGGTCGCATCCTGGAACTGAAGAATGAGATGGTTGAAGTGGAATTAACCGAGTTTCATTATTTTGATGACCTCTTACAGGATCTAAAGTTGGTGCCTGTAAGTACTTTGTTGTTTTTCTTTTTTTCTTATTGGTTTCTTTTTGTTGTAAATAAGATAAGTAGGCCGGTACCCAATACTCCGCAAACTCTTAGACATATTTACTGGTTGTTTGATGTATTAAAAATCTAAACATTTCCCTATAATTACACCATAGGTGATGGACAAGGATTGGGCTCCCTTCATTTTTGGTGCAGACGAATCTTTGCACAGTTCTTGGGACTGTTAGGCACTGAGGTTGTTGTGGTCTTACCTGACATCATGGTGTCTACCTGGGACTGTTGAGATGGGGTAGGCTGGCCCTTTCATGAATATCCTGTAGTAAAAACCTCCTGACGTCCAATAGCAGGGCCCCTACTCTGTTTCCATGGGAAGTCTCTCTCTGTAGCCTGTTGGTGGTGGGTTCCTTATTCCCAGATGGGTGCTTCTCCTCCTTTGCTTTGGGTCAGTGGTGACCCAGGGGGATCTATGGCTTCTATGGCTATGAGCTTTTGAGCCTCAGACACCAAAAAAGAGCATGCACTATCTCTCTCCTTCTCTCTCCTTCTCTGCCCTCTCCTGTCTCCCTGCTGGCACCTGGTAACCATAGCGCCCCCCTGTGAGCATTTGGACTTCTGTTTCCAGGTGCCTGGGATCTTTTCTGATGCTCCGTGTGGCTGGGTCATTGTCATGGTCCTGTGAGAAAGAGAAAGGGAAAACAAAACAGGTTCATCAAGAGAAGCAGAAATAAATGCAGAATCCTGAAGGCACCTTCATCCCTGGGCATACCTCTGTCGCTGACAAGCACCCAACTGTGTTCCTGCCCTTGGTTCCTGAATTCCCCCAAATCCTTCTTAGCCAAATGAGCCAGAAGACTATTTCTGTAACCTCCCACTTAAGGAACCTTTCCTAATAGGTCCTCCTCATGTAGAGAAATGTGTAGTGGGTGAGATGGATTTCTCTGCTCCACAGAGCATTGGAAGCCCCAAGGTATCTGGGGTGGATATAAAACATACCGTGGATGAGGTCCAGCAACCGGTAGTGGAAGACAGCAATCTGTCTTCCATTCTCAACTGCTGCTTCCTCACCCTCAAAATCCTAACTTTAATTTTATGGTACCAAATATACCAGATAGAGCCCGACCAATAAAGTTTTGTCTTAAGTTATAAAAGTACAATTAAATGTGCTGATTCATAAATAAAATCACATTAGATAAAAGGATAATCATTCTTCTTTGACTGTGCTCTATCTCCAGGCCATACTCCCCCACTGGGCACTGGCAGTTCACTCTCAGATCACCCCAAATCACCATTGACCGAAAGTTTTGGTATTCAAAGGCCATTGCCACCTCCCAGAAATCATGGGGATACTGTGCCACCAAGTCCTAAAAATGACACCCCTTTAGGCTGTAATGCTTGGTTAGAGAAGTCCTGTCCAAAATTCCCCAGGCTGGAGGGAGGGTGTGGGGATTCACACCCAGAATTGCAGAAAAGGGGAGCTGATCCCAGAGACAAGACCCTTTGCTGCCTGGTCAGCTGGTCTACCAGAAAGCGGCCAGGCAGGTCTGACTGAGCGTCTAGGATAAAATTTCTCAGGGGGATTGGCCAGTCCTTTAGTAGCACATCTACACTCCTGATTCCTAAACTTGGACTGGCAAGCATTCATCTGACCATGAATTTGACATATTTGGTAATATGCACAAGTGAAGAATAGAAGTTTACATTTATTGTATAAAAATGTTTCATAATAAAGCAAATTTTGCAAATAATTTTTGTAATGGGGTAATTTTGGTAAACAAAAAATATGGTTTTCCAAATTATTAGAAAAAATTGTGACCATTTAAATACCAATAGTGGATGTGCTAATGATCTCTGCAGCTCAACACTTTGCTATCCTTAGTTGAGGCCTAATTGATAAGAATTCCTGAGATTTTACTTTAGTGATTAAAACAAGGGTCACAGGTTTGATTTCCCTTTTAACTGTTTGTCTCTCTGGCGGGAATGCATTTTCTTCCCTCCGCCGGCCTCGCCGTCTCCCAAATGGGAGTGGGAAGTGGAGTGAGTCTCTGGTGCGCATGTGCTCGCCGTATATTTTAAATGGATTTGAGTCCTGGACCTGTGACAAAAATGCTCTTTTGTTTATTCTTTCTCTTCTAGCAACAGTTAGACATTCCCATACCCAGGTACTTTTTGAAGGAGAAGTTGGAAGTGATAAAAGGAAGAGAGAAAATCCTCGCTCAGATATTGGCCGAGAGTGGATTAGCTGCAACTGACCCGGTCTGTATATCATCTTAACAAACGTTATTCCATAATCTGTAGAACCTCCTCTTTCTGCTGCTTCTAACTGTGTGATAAACAATTGGGTTATTTTTGATTTAAGGAGAGAGTCACCCCTTCCCCCTTATTATATGGTTTATAAGAAGTTGCATAACTTTTGGACATGTTTTTGGTGATACATAATCATTGTATTTCAAGAGCTTAGAAATAGAAATCAAAATGTAATGCTTTGCTACTTAAATCAGTATGTCTAAGACTAAGTTGATTATCAACTCAGTTTAATTTTCCATCTCAAATTCACCTAGCTGAAGTCAGAAGCTAAATGTTGTTCATATAAAATAATTAAGTGCTGATATAACTTACTAGGAACTTGAAAATCTAAAAATGATGATTGACCTTTTATAACTTAAAGTTGGATGACACTTGAATCACCTCAAATGGACTGTCTTTGGAGACAGGGAAAGAAAAATTCTTAAAGATCTGTCTAGAAAGCAAGGAGCATAATCCCACTGGTTCCTTACCCCGATACCCTCTCTGTCCCCAGCATTTGTGCAGCTCCACCTTCCTCCCGTTCTCACAGCTGTCAGTGCTGACGCTTACAGTGATCTCCACGCAGCCTCCTGGCGGGCAGTCATCGTCTCCCTGTCCCGTCCGCCTCTGACTGCTCCGCTTGTGCATTTCGGTGACTCACAGCCTGTGAAATCAGTGCCTCCCTCCTCTGGCTCGTCTTCATGGCCCAAGCAGTACGGGGGCAACTGAGCACCCGAAGTGGGACACTGCAGAGTGGAAGGAGGCGCCCGAGTAACTGTGCTGAGACTGCAGGTGCGGACCAGGGCCCACAGGGTAGCAGGCCACGTGGTCTGTCTGCAAACAGGCCCCACCGGGTATTGCCAGCCCGGGCCGTGGCATTAAGGAAGATTCCAAGTGTGTGCTGGGGATGGCAGGAGAAGAAAGTGCCCTGTCTGCCTGCAGAAGACAGGTGAATTACACGCCCGGCGTCAGCCAGCCCGGTGCTGCCTCTTGTATGCATGGGCACACTCCATGCTGGCCAGAGGGCTTGCTCTTCTCACTTGCAAAGTGGTACCCATTCTGCAGAGCCCAGCTGGGCATAGCTTCCTTCAAGAAACCTTTCCTGACCCAGTGTCTCAGTCCATTTGTGTTGCTGTAACAGAATAACAGACTGGATAATTTATAGACAATAGAAGTTTATTTTGCACTTGGTTCTGGAGGCTGGGAAGTCTGAGATTGAGGAGTCGCATCTGGTCAGGGCCTTCTTGCTGCATCATAACATGGTGGGGAAGGCGTGCCATGGTGAGAGACAACGTGAAGAGCAAGAAATAAGGGGGCCACATGCATCCTTTTATCAGAAACCTGCTCCTGGGATTACAGCCGGACTCCATTCCTGAGGGCAGAGGACCTTAGCACCTCTTAAAGGTCCCACCTCTCAGCACTGCTGCAGTGGGGACTAAGTTTCCAACGCACAAGCTTCGGGGGACACATTGAGACCACAGCACCCACCTAACTTGAGGCAACCTCTCCTTCCTGCGCCTCCCCCAACAAACTGCTGCCTCTCTTCTGCATTGTGAATTCCTTGATGCCGACTCCAAGGCCAACTTACTCGGGGGTCATCCAGCCATCCTTTCACCCCTGGGCTCCTGTGTCTGTGCTCTCTGTCCATGCATCGGTCAGAACAAAGCACTCCAACTTCATCTATTCCCTTCTCACCAGGCAGTGCTGAGCTCTGCAGAACTCCCTGAGGATTTTATAGGGGAAAATGGAGACGGGAGCTTACATTGCACGCACTATGGTAAAATCCTAAAAATTCCTCTTTGTGGTTTCTCCTGCCCACTGTCCCCCTTCAGTTGTGCTGGGTCAGCAGCAGGGGGATTTCTCTCCTCCTCCCCTCACCCACCACCCAGCCTTGGCCGGCTCCTCTCACTTCTGTTGGGTAGAGCGATTCATCTCCACCCCAGCCTCATTTCAGATGTGCCAGGTGCTCAGCGAAGCACGAGGGCTTCCAACTGACCGCCCTGGGCATCTGCTGTGACTTTCCCATGCCCCTTGGTATCTCACTAGATGCCTTCTTTACCTTAAGCTGCTTATTCCTTAAAGACATATATAATATATATGCCAAGAACAATTTTGACAAGTAAAAATTATTGTCCATCTCCTACAGGTAATGCTTAATATCCACTATTGGGGCCTCCTTAGATGCTCAGAAACCTTTGTAACGTTGAGTTACACTACTCTAAATTCCTTGGAATTATTCAGTAATAGCTGGGATTATTTTCAGAATGATTGCATAGAATCTAAAGGAAATAGGTCCTGTACTAACTAATGTTTGCTGGGCACTATATGCGTAAGTGCTTTCACATACATCATCTGATTTAATACCAGAATAATACTCATTTTACTCTAACATGCAAAGCACATTATTGAAAATGTGTGCTCACTGCAAATTTGAAGCAATGAAATCTTACCGAAAGCAAACCCCAGAGGAATGGTTATGTGAAAGAGCTTCCTCATAAGCCTGCACATCCCATACGCTGTGCTGAGGCACCGCGTTGGGGCGGTCGTGGAGGTCTTAGTGGAAAGAGGGCCCGTCTCTGTTCACACTGGCTCTACCTCTCTACCCACGGGGACTTGTGTGAGTTACTGTACTTCTTTCATCTTCAGTTTTAAGTTTACATGGTCACAATAACACCTGCCTTGCAGTTTGCTTTCGTGAATTTGATGAGCATATGTAGGAAAAGCACCTGGCATCCATAGGTTCTCAATTAGTGTCCCTTCCCTCTCCTTCTCACTCCTTCCCATGCCCCACCTCCCCTCATTATGCGGGGAAGCAGTGGCCCAGGTGATAGCCCCTGACACTCCAGGCCTCAGCCCCTCACGGCCGTTGCTGCTCTCTGGGGCCTGGAAATGGACTCCACCTGTGCTTTGCTGCCTCGACATCCTCCAGAGCCAGGCCCCGGGCACTGCTTCTCCCTCAGCCGGGAACAATGGCAGGGCCTCACCTCTGGGCCTGGCCAGAGCTCACACAGCCCAGGATGCACCGAGAGCTTCTGCTCTTGTCCCCCTCCTCAAAAATTGACACAGCCCCTCGCCCTACTGGGTCGCCACATACCCCACCTGAGAGCTCCCAAAACAACATTTTACTGCATAATCCCTGATTTTTCTGTTTTAATAGTACTTATCATGCTGGATGTTTTAACATGCAGGTTAGAGATGCTGGAGAGTGTTTCACATGTGAAATTCAATGTTTCCGGGACGATCTCAGCATCAGTCCTATATTTACCAGGTGTTCCACGCTGGACTTTAAACTCAGCACTTCATTTCGCATATATTTTACATTTTAAATTCTTGTATCAGAGACATGCTTTTAATTTCTGTGTTTCTACTATCAAGTTAAGGAAATATTGATAGCAGTTTCAAGTTTTACTAAATCCATTTTACTGACATGTCTAGTATAATTTGCTGCCAGCCTAAAATATCGTGGAGCTGATTGGTATTTTGTTCACAAGGGTAGAGGAAAGCTATGGGGTCCTCAAACTTGTGATTGCAGCGCGAGCATGGCATATTATCAAAATACACATAAATCATTAGAAAAATGAATAGTGTCACGCGGCGCTCACACTCTTTCTCAACCATGGGGACTCTAAGCAGGGCTGTGTTATAGGTAAGCGTGCGATGTGTCTGGAATCAACTGATGTGGTTAGCATGTTTAAACATTGATTTATCTTAACTGGGTAACTATGTTTGGGGTTTTTGTTTGTTTTTTGCAGAAATATTCAGTAAAGGATATCCCCTTAGAAGAGGCTGTTAAATTGATCCAGATTGCTGAGAGGGCACGGCAAGGTCGCCTAAGAGCACTATTCATGAAGCAGATCTGTATGCAAGAATACAGGGCGAAGCTATCCAGGGCACTTGGCGAGAAAGTGACAGACACCAGGGCTGCTGCACTCTGTATTCAGAAGGTACAAACACGGGGCTCTTGGAGTTGGGGACAAGGTGTGCTCCATGCTAGAGATGCGTATGAGCTTCAGGGCTGAGCTTCAAAACTCAGAGCCCCCAAATCCCAACTTTAGTAGAACTGGATTAAATTCTGGAAAGATGTATTAACTTACTCTGGGGAAATCATGAACTAAGCTTGGTCATATTTTAAAATTTTTATTCTAAACAGGTATTAAACACAGGGCATTTTATTCAAACATTGCTAAAGACCACTGATAATTGGAAAGAATGTTGCTAAAATTCGGTGAGGATCTAAATCCTTAACACGTTTTTTAAAACTACATTCACACATGGACATATAATTACAGAAGGGGCAGCAAACCTTAATACCTGGTAGCTTGCAGAAATATATACCATTTGGAAATTCCAGCAACCATCACTAATAACCAGAACATCAGCGATCCTTCTAGAAGGAATTCCGAGGTTTCCTTCCCTTTGTCAGGCAACCACCACTGACTTGTGCCCTGTCTTTGTTCAGATGGAGGCTGGGTTACTTACGGGCAGATGGAGAAGATGGCAGTTTGACACAAATTAGAGTTAGGTTTGAGATAAAATAATTTTAAGGACATAAAACAGCCAGAAGATCAGGACTCTTTGTCCCCAATTGTCCCTGAATAGGAATGGGAGAACAAGGATAAAAGATTGTTTTTTTCTTCCAAGTTTCTGTGCAGATATAAAGTTTTAGCATCTGAGTTAAAAGCTTGAGTCATGCAATTCTTGGAAGTTACTATATTTCCTGACATTACTTGGGAAATTTTTCTTTTAAAATCATGAAGTACCACCCTTAGATATAGTCTCATACTCCTGCTGTCTAGAAGTTTCTCTTGAAGAAACTCAGGTAGGGGAATCTCACTAATGAGAATTGTAGGTCAGTTCTTTGATTCATTCTTTAAAAAAAAAAAACTTTGCCTGTGATCTCAGAAGAAATAATATTCCATCAACCCACACGTGCACAACCTCAAGTTTATGATCATTAAGACATTTGAGATGTACACTTTCTATGGGAGAAACTGCATAAATGTTTTCTTTATTTTTTTATGTATTAAACAAGTAACTGTGTGTTTGTTTTCAGGTTTGGCGAGGTTTCCATCAGTATAGGAGAACCGAAAAAGAAAGAGAAGAGGAGATGATATTCCTGGGTATGGTAAGTGCTCTTATAGACGGGATCTGGTTGTCTTAAAGACAATAGAATATGTAAAATTTGTGTCTTTGCTAGTGAGTTTTTGGGGGAAGAAAGGAAAGAAAAATAAATGACTTAAGGGAATGGAGTGGCCTGTATTTTACAGAAGCCTGCGCAGGGAGATTGGGAGAGATCAGGGTTGCATCCATGTATGTATCTCTGTGCAAGATGCAGAATGCTCCCAGTGTGGAAACAGGCTATAAGCTGTCACATCTGCCATTCCTGTCTGATGTCAACAGGACTACCTTTTATATCTGCTGGTCATGAGAATGAGTTTGCATTGGTACAGGCTTTTTTTGGTTTTTTTGTTTGTTTTTGGTGGTGGGGAGTCTCTGTGCTGATTACTGAATCATAGAGTTGGAAGGGTGTTAATTGTCTATGGCCATATAACAATGTTACCACCAACTTAGCAGCATAAAACAGCACCTGTTTTCTCTCTCTGTGGGTCAGGAATCTGGGCACAGCTTAACTTAATCCTGAGTCCTCTGCTCGGGATTTCACAAGGCTGCAGTCAAGGTGTCAGCTGGGGCTGTGGTCTCATCTGAGGCTCAGTGGGGAAGGATCTGCTTCCAAGTTTGTGTGGTTTTGGCAGGATTCAGTTCCCTGTGGGCTGTCAGATCGTGGGTCCCAGTTTCTATGCCAGCTGTTAGCAGGAGGCCACCCCTAGCTCCTTGCTATGTGGGCCTTTCCATGCAACAGTGTGTTTTATCAAAGCTGGCAAGAGACAGGGGCTGCTCGGAATCTTAGGCAAATGATCACAGAAGTGATCCCATCACCTTTTCCCTATACAGGTCAAAAGCAAGTTATAGGGTCCACCCACACTCAGGGAGAGGGGGTTACATGAGGGTGTGAGGACCAGGAGATGTGGTCTTCGGGGCCATCTCAGAATCTGTCTGCCGCTAAGGGCTTTCCTGCACCATCTGCATCATCGAGTGTGAGGCCTCGAGAAAGCTGGCTTGTCCTCTACCTGAGCCCCTCCTGAACTCAGCACCCCCTAGCCCTGCTGCCTCCCAGGACAGCCCATTTGGTCACGTTTTCAAAGCTTCTTCCTTTCCTTTAACTGAAATCTGCCTCCCTAGAGATCCCGCTAACTGGCTGGGGCTCTGTCCCCTGCAGTAGCTCAGAATGTGACTTATTTCCCTTTCACATGATAACTCCTCGAGTATTTGGAGGCAGCTCTTAAGCCCACTAAGCCAACTCTTTGCAAAGCAAATTATCACCAGAGATGGGGACCATTTCTAGTGAGGACTCCTTTGTTGACCTGCTCAGTTTTCATTAGAGGATGTTGTAATTTTAAAAAAGAAAAGAACAAAAGCCTTTGGAGACCTGTTCCAGCATTGACTTAAGGTGTACTGTAGTGAGCTACATTGCTTGATGCGCCCTATTTAATGCCAGATAAAAGTATTAAAGCAGTAACATTGATAAATACAGTGACTAAGTCTTTGGAAATACTAATAACACACAAAGCTCTGGTGGGGCTAATCAAGGAAAGAAGAAAAGCATATAAAATGTACAGTATTAACTAAAGACCCCAGCAAGTTAAAAACTGTTAGATGATGTCATGAACAACTGTGGTCATAAAATACGAAATATTGAGCAGAGAAGATTGTCTAGGGACGTATAAATATCAAAACTGGCCAAAGGAGAAGAAACCTAAATAAACCAATCACTGTAGCAAATACTGAAAAGATTTCCAAAGTCCCTGTGTTAGGTGGGTCCCAGGAGAGCAGATGCCAGGATGGAATTAGACGGGCAGGAGACGCATTAGGAGAATATCTGTGAAGAATAGAGGGAGGGCCAGTGAGGGCTGAGAAAGGCTTCAGGTCGCGACAGAGGCTGGGCACCATGAAGGAGGGACAGGCAGGAGGGCTGAGAAGGAAGAGACTCAGAGTGCAGCACAGTTCCAATAAAGAAATTCAAATTGCTTTTAAAAATCTGTGCTAACAAAAGAAAAGATACTCAAAAAAAAAATACTCAGTTTGGGAAAGGACCTGGGGCAAGTACAGTCTAAGTAACTGCTAATGAGGGTTTTAATTGCCCACCTTTCAGAGCCCAGTTTATCTCATTAAAAACATTAAAAAACACTTATACCTTTGTGCCCAGCATTTCCCACCCTTGGAATTTCTTTGCTATGAAAAAATAAGAATATGAGCAAATTTTACAATATGTAGATGTTCATATTAGTGTAGTTTTATACTAATTCTAAGAAATTGGTGGCCAGAAATGGTTAATATCGTTAAAATATCCCATTATATATCATTAGACTTTTAGACTTTCATTACATTTTATGAAATGTAAAATATGAATACCGTGATCTTTTATTCTTTTCTTTATCTTACATCGTTCTACAATAAACATGTATTTTATGTCTAAAAAGTTTACAGATAAAAATGCATGTTCAAAATTATATCAGAGAAGAAAAAGATATGAATCATGGCTTAAATAATATGTAGTTTTAAAAATTGAAACTGAAGTAATAGTCAATTCGCAATACATTTTCCCAATTCTATGTACTTATCAAATACATATCTCAGTAGGACAAAAATTGGGACTTAGGATTTTTGCTTTTCTTTCTATTTTTAACAGTAAACATGCTCAAAGAACAAGAAATAAAAAGTAAGAAGTAAAAATAATAATTACAATTTGTGATTTTTAACCAATGCAGAAATATGGTTTTCTTTATATCATTCTTTTCTTTCTATGTTTGTTATTTCTAATACCATATTCCTCTTCTCACTTTTAGAGAAAATAAATCAAATGACCATCATGATAGCGCTGAGACATCAGATCCCTTTATACTGTGATCAACCATAAACATGACCATTTGAGCCATATTTTAATTAGGTTTTCCTATATAAATATTAAATTTTCTTTTCTGGGATTTTAGGATTTAAAATAAATTAAAAGATCTTGCCAATAGTGTTAAATATAGCTACAGTATAATTTAGTTCCATCTTCAGGGTATTGCCATATAATTTTCATCAGTTATGTAATGGCACATTTTAAATGACACAGTCAGTACATTTGGTTTTAGAGTAGTTCCCATTTTACTGTGGCTCCTCATCCCGGACTGCTCCCCCTGCAGTCAGGGCCTCCATGCTTCGCCTTTGATGTCAGCACAAAATTATTTTTCTTGAAGTGGGAATTTAACTCCATATTCCAGAAACTTGAAACTGCCTAGTTTCCTGGTGAAGGGGCATGATATCACCACACCTGTGTTTATAAAGTCTGCCTTAAAAATGTGGGAAATCATACATGGACAGCATATATGATTTAAGAAGTATCTTGATTTTATCACCTATGTTCTTGATTTCGCTTTGATCTTTGTATTTCAAAAATAAGTCAACATTTATTTTTGGAAATTAAGAACCCCTAGGGGCCCCAGCCCGTATTTTGCTTTATAGTTGTTTAGGTGTACTATCAGAATCAAAGGGGTCAGCAGTTTCTTCCAGTTGTTACGGATTTTTATGATCTCACTGGATGGAATATTATTCAGCCTTAAAAAAGAAGGAAATTCTGACACACACTACAACATGGATAAACCTTGAGGGAATTATGCTAATGAAATAAGCCAGTCACAGAAAGACAAGTATTGTATGATCCCACTTACATGAAGTATCTGAAGTAGTCAAACTCATAGAAACAGAAAGTAGATAGAGGGTGTCAGGGGCTGGATGGAGGAGGAAAGGGGAGTTGTTATTTAATGGGTATAGATTTTCAGTTTGAAAGATGAAAAAGTTCTAGAGATTTGTTTCACAACCATGTGAATGTAGTTAACACTATTTAACCGCATGCTAAAAATTGTTAGCATGGTAAATTTTATGTGGGGGGTTTTTACCACAATTAAAATTTTTTTAAAAAATTCACTGGGATATTGAAATGTATACTGAGATGGTTATATATAAATCAGGCTACTCACTAGTGGTCAAAATTCAAAATTAAATGAGATACTACTGTACTTCACTGAATCCAAAATATCATCAATTATAAGATGCACCATTATTTTTATGTGCCTTTAAAAAAAAATGCTGCCAAATAAAGCAAAACACACCCTTGATTGCAATACACATCTATCCCTAATTTCATATATGTTAAACTGTGAAAAATGTGCATCTTAGAATTGGTAAAATAGGGTAAGTTGTGTCTGTCTTGTTAGCAAAAATAAAAAGTTTTAAAATTATACTTATTGATAAGGTTGTGATGAGTGGCTCATTCTCATACATAAGCAATTAAATTGACTCAGCCTTTCTGAAAGCCAGTTAGCAAGATATAATAAGATTAAAATATTTATACTCTACACCTTCAAATTCTTTTCTGTCTTAAGGTAATCATCAGAAATAGAGATTTGTGTGCATGGAAGTTCCCAACAGTGTTTTTTAATAATGAAAAACTAAAAATAACAGATTCTATTATTCTAGGGTAGGTATTATAGTTAAATAATTTATGGTGAACCCTACATAATGCAGTTATATGCCAACATTAAAAAGTATGTTTCTGACTAATTATTGATGATGTAAAAATGCTCAAGGTGAAAATTCAAGATTCAGAATTACACATATATTAATAATATGACTTCAACTAAGTATATACACATATCCATGCACATACAAAAGAAAGAAAGAAAATATACCAACTTCGAATACAGCTCATGTTTTAATGTGTGAATTTTGGAAGATATTTTTGTCTGTAATTGTCTATAGTTTCTAAAATGGTCAAATTTTACTTTGTTAATTACAAAAAAAAAAATACATATTTAAAAGTGAAAGCAGTTTACCAAAATGGCAGAACAGAAGCAATCTCGCTTCACTCCCCATCGGAGAAAACCGAAAACCAATATCCAGCACCAAGATTATCACCAGCAATATCCCAGAACTCAAATTTGTGGATGAGACAATCCCAGGTCTACAGAGAAGTGAAAAAACTCTGAGCAGATAGAGAATAGGACTTCTATATCCACGATGCCC